TAAACTAATGAGTCATGAGGATCTGAATGGATTCTGTCCCCTTTGTGAAAGGTAGCTCTGCCCCAGTCAGTAACTTTTGTCTAGCTATCACTTGTCACCTGATCACATCTTCTATCCCTCTCCTCTTCTGGCTGCTGGCAAAGTTAGTTGGGAATTTTATTTATATGAGGATTTACACAATGAATCTGTAAGAAGGAATCACTTTTCCTGTGGAAGTTTGCTGAAGCATTTTCATCCCTTCTGGGTTTGGTCCTAATTGGTTTCCTGAGTTGGCTGAGAAGGGAGCTACAACTTCTGGTACCAAGATTCCTTTGACCATCATGCCTTTATAATCATAATCAGAGTTTGGAAGTGGTAGTGTCTTGATCAAAGGAAAGTCTGTACTTGCCTCTTTGCAGAACCATAGCAACAGGATTACTGGATCTTCCCACATTTCTGCTAATGGCTGTGGAGGCTTGTAAGCAAGAAACAGGCTGTGCCATAAAGATCTCGGAGGTGTTGGGTTTTCTGCCACACACACAAGGGCTTAGGCTGCAAAGCCACTCACAGCTTTTGGTGCCTTAACATCATTTTGTAGAAGCTGTTGTGTGTCCAACCACAGGAAGTTGAACAGAGCAACTCGGCACAGGAACGTGGTCTGGTCGTGCTGTGTGTTAAACGTGCTGCAGCCAGGGGATGCTGGCCACTTGGTTAGAACTGGAATCATTTCACTAGTCTGTTCATTTTAACCTAAGCAAGAGCTGAGTTACCTTGGGGCAGTTAGAGAACTTTGAAGTCTTCTGATGAATCATCTAAAATTACAGCAGAATTTAATTAATTTATTTTTGTCCTAGAAATACAAAGGAAAATCAGCTGAGTTTACTGCTGCTACTTTGATACCTTTTGCTTTCATGTTGGAAAACAGATGATAGACTGAAATAGCTTGTGTCTTATGTTACTTTAATTTGCTCCCATAGTGATGGAAGTCATCATCCCCAAAGCTTTTTCCTTCAAACTCGGGTAGGGTCTATTATGCAAGATAAACTTAAGTACTGTTAGCCCAAGGATACAGTGACTTACCCATGTGCAGTTGTGACAGAAGTGACCACCTATTTAAAAGTGAAGAAGGAGATGCTTTGTGCTGCTTATCCTGCTTCATCATCAAGGTTTTTTAGATGTAATATCACTATTGGATGAGCAGTGATGGAAGAGTCTTCCATTTAGTTCATCAATACCAGAAAAAGTGGAGTGAAAAAAGTAAAAAGCCTCCTGAGGGGGAGGATCTTTTTAAATACAAGGAAAACTGTATAGAAACATGTATAATATCTAAGTTACTCTGCTTCCTCCTTCCTCTGTCAATAACATTAAAATGGAATAAGTGGTTTCATCCTGTGGAATGTCAAGAAAGCTGTTTCAGCTCAGCTTCACCACTGAGAATACAGTAAACCTGTATGGTCCATACGCTGGTTGGGGGAGCATATTTTGGAGTGTTTTGTCAGTCATCTGTTTCCAAGGCCCAGACAGATTAATCAAAGACTTCAGTCAAACTGTGAACTCAGTAGCTCTCTTAATTTTTTTTCCTGACAGTTTTAAAATGCTGTTGTGATTAATACATTATTTGCAGAGGCTGGAGAGGGGAGAAAAGGTGTTATTTGGAAACTAGCTCCAGAAGAAAAGTCTATTTTCTCTTAAAACAAACTGCACAGTGCTGCCAATAGCCCTCTTCTAACTGAGTTATGAAAGGAGATTTAAAGATTGTGTTTCCCTTGATGCAAAGGTCACCCTCAAATTTCAGAATCTGAAACTGAACTGGTCTCATCACTCTTTTAATGCTTTCTGTCTGCATTCCCACCTGTACACTCAGTTAATTTCCTACATGTTTCAAGTTTGGTTTTTTGAGGACAGTCTGCTTCATTTGCAGCAGCAGTGCACAGGGAACTCAAGTGCTTAGGCTTCAGATCTGGGGACTCATGGGGGCCATAATCTGTGATGGAAAACAGAGACACATCTTTAGGTGCTGTTCTTTTCTTAAATCTATCTATTCATTTTAAAATGTGTATTTTGCATGTCAGTGCAAACTTCTTACAATAGAAGTGAAGCTTATAATGGCACAACAGTTCAGAGATCACGTGCACTATTGCTGTTGTTCCAGACCCACGAAACTGTTTGCTGCACTAGAAGAAATCATTAGTTTAGCAGGATGCAGACTATCAAGATAAAGTTTTTTTTTCAGCATGGGTTTTGTTTGTTTGTGGGGATTTTTAAAAGCATTTTTGCCATGTACACTGATCTAGGACCTGTTTCTCCTATTGTGAGTGCTACAAATCAAAGCCAGATTTGTTGAAACACTACTAACTTTTTGAAATGGCTATAGAAGGTGGCAGGAAGAAACAAGTTGCTGGTTTCATACTTTTCCAAGTTAGTTTGCTACTGGTACTAGTATCAAGTTAAAATATATTCAAGTCAGTTTTTTACTGGTACTAGTATCAGGTTAAAATATATTCAAGTCAGTTTTTTACTGGTACTAGTATCAGGTTAAACTATATTCAAAGGAAGGGGGGTGCCTATGTGTATAGGTAATATATACCAGATATATCAGATTTATATATCAGATTTATCTGATTTGAGAGTTTGTCATTAATGTTGTAAAGATAATAAAGCAACATGTTATTAGGAGAGCATGAATAGAAGGAAGAAACGTGACTTTGAAAGGATGGATGTCCCACAGCAAGGGCTGAAGCATCTAATCTTGAATCACTTCAAGTTTGCTTTGACAGAGCCCTAGAATAAAAAGAAAATAAATAAAAAATTGCTCCTGACACTTAGATGATCGAGCACAGGTTCCATCTCCCAAAATCTCATATTTTTTGCATACTAGAGTCTTGCTTAATTTCTCATTGCAGTGTTCATACAGAAATTAGACCAAGCCATAGGTAGTTGGGAAAATTTTTTATTTTTTTTTCCCCCTAAACTTTGCACATGTAGTCTTTTACAGGGAAAGCACAGATTTCAGATCTTTTCCATGGACTGTTCTGTAAAGAAGGACTCTTCTCTATTTCCAGCTGTGTCAGAAAGAGGCTTCAGAAAGGAGCCAATAAGCTTCCCAAGAGAGAAAGAATGAGCAAATTAAAAATAAGTTATTTTTTGCTTCTTCCTCAGCCTCTCAAGGATCTGCCAGGCACCATATCTTGCATTACATTTAATCTGAGGGGCATCTAATGCCTAAAAATTCAGTAATTGCTACCTGTAACAGAGGGAAAACTGTGCCTGAGAGAACTTAACAAGCGAGACAGCGAATTGTTCCACAAACTCTTTCTGTCATTTGATTGATAGATGGAACAAGCAGCAGCTGTTCCTCTGAAAGGGTGATTGTAAAGCAAGGAGGAAACTCATCTAATAGGAACAGAAAAGGTCAGAGCCAACACTTTACTGCATCCCTAGCCTCCATCCCTCAGTTCAGGGGTTTGGCTCTGCGATGGGCAGTACCTCAGCAGCATCCCTCGCCCGTCGCATCCCACACAGTCCAACCTCAACCATGTGTTCTCATGCTGAGCATTGTCACAGTTGTCTAAAATCACTTATCTAACAAAACAGAGAAGGGATTTTTATTTTATTTTTAATGGTTTTAAAATCATGAGACTGAGACAATCTCTATTCGTTAGGCTTCTATTCTGAAAACTGCTTGCTGGCTTTTTTGCTTATCAGAGAAATCGGGCTGTTACACACATGGCTGCTACCCTGCTTCTTCTACATGTGCTAAAGATACAGATTCTAAAAGCCAAAGAACAGGCATATAATTCAGGCCATGGTAATGCAAGCCTTGACAAAACAGTACATTATCTTATTCACGAATAATTTTAATTTATGTCTTCAAACTGTAATAATAGTGAACATAGCATTTGGCAGATTTAGCACGTTAATACTTCACTTCCTTGCTGATAAAAAGATGCCTTGTTCTGAACTCATTATAATTATGCTTCCTTCACTTAAAATTCCACTTCTCTCTGTATTTTACATTGAGGAAATAGCTGGGGAAATTTCACTGGGGTTTGTGCCTTTCACCCTCACTGCTTTGCTGTTAAATGGTGAAAACAGTCAAGAAAAACCTTAACAGAGTTAAGCGGCTGCCTCTGGTTCTTCTTCAGACTAGTTTGTAGGGATGGAGCATGAGCAGAGCTTGGGGTTTAGTTAGGCTTGGAAAAAGCTAGTTAGCTTTTGTGAGAACATATTGGTTCAAGTATTGAGTTAGTTGATGGTGGTTTCTTTGGTTTTGTTTTCCAAATGTTTTGGAGTCATAATATGGGCAGGACCTAACAACTGGTGAAGGACCAGGTAGCAGTAAAGGGAGTACAGAGGCTTTTAGTGATTTGCTAGGGGAGTCTGTGGCTGGGTGAAGTCCCCACCTGCAGTCCCCCCTCTGCCTCACCTCCCCCACTTGAGATGGACAAGCCTTGGCTTGGTGTGGTTTTGAAAGATGAAAATGTTTCCAGTGTGTTGGATGAAATGTGTTCATTATGGAGCAGTATAGAAAATAATGATGGAGAATTTTAAAAGCAAATGTTAATGACCGCATATTGATGCTTTTACCAAATTGAATAAACATTACTTTTCCTTAGTGACGTCTAATTATAGACCTAATATAGGAGATGTTTAGAAAACAGCTTGTTGGGGCAGAGAGGAGAAGGTATGTGTGCATTTGGTATGGTGGGTGTTGTGGCTGTTTTTTAAAATCTCATTTTTGGACTGGGAAGAAGCATGAGAAGCTTCTGAGGAGTGGAGAGAGAGAAATAAATGTTCCAGGCAGAGTGGGAATATGCAGCCAGGCCTTGCCTGCTGATGGATGGTTCCACAGTCATGGTACCTCAAAACCAGGCATATGTACAGTTCTTCTGTTAAGGCTTTCCTGCTGCCCCTTAATGCCTCCCCGTCTCCTGCAACAAATGCTGGTTTCCAAGAACTGGTAGGAGCACTGATGCCTCCTGCACTGCATGGAAATGATATACATACTGTTCCTCTCACAGGTGGATTTGCTGAATTCTCCAGCTCTTTCCC